CGAGGTTGTGGACAACTTTTTTCCCCCCCCCCCCCCCACTTTTTTGTCCTGTTTCAACTTCACTTCCATTCTCGATAATGTTTATATTCTGGCCTATTTGTTGCTTCTTCTCTTTCCTTTTTCTCCAAGTTCTTGACAGATCTAATCATTTGCAGTCAATCAGGACATCTTTAATTCACCTTTAGATGCTGTCAGACTTTTAATATGCTTTCAGTTTTCCCCACATTATTATAATGTTGTTCATTTCGGGTCCTGCTGCTTCTGCTCTCCAGTTGCTTAAATTCTAACATACAATATTTAATGTATAGCTCACCTCTCAACCAATGGAGTGCAACAGTACAAGATTATGCATGGAATAGAGCTAGAAATGTGAAGGCCTGGGGGAAAAAACGGAAAAATTCGGAGGGGGGGGGAACGGGTTTTTTCCGTTTTTTCCCGAAAAATTGGAAAAATTGAAAAAAGAAAAAGAAAGAAAAAATTGATTATGGAACATTTTATTTTAACAGGATGAATAAGATATTTTAAGACAAGGTGTTCAGATATTTTCCAAATCATTTCTAATATATACAGTCAAGGGCCCAGAAAGAGGGAGAGAAACTCTTTTCTATGTGGTTCTAAGTAGTCATTCATAATCATGCTCCGATGAACCTGATTTTATCAGCGCATAGAGAAGAAGAGATTTATACCCCACCCTTCACTCAGAGTCCCAGAGCGGCTTACAAACTCCTTTCCCTCCCTCTCCCCACAACAGACGCCCTGTGAGGTCGGTGGGGCTGAGAGAGCTCTTTCCAGAACTGTCCTTGAGAGAACAGGTCTGACAGAACTATGGCTTGCCCAAGGTCATCCAGCAGCTGCAAGTGGAGGCGTGGGGCATCAAACCCGGTTCTCCCAGGTTAGCGTCCGCACACTTAACCACTACGCCAAACTGGTTGAGTCAGAATCTGACTGTGATCCAGAGTTATACAGGGCTATTTTTGGGCAGGAACGCACAGGAACGGAGTTCCGGCTGGCTCCCAAGTTGGCCACGCCCAGCAGGAACTCATTAACATAACAGGCCACACCCAACAGCAGAAACTCATTAGGATTGGCTACAATTAGGGGTGTGTGGCCTAACATGCAAAAAGCCCTGGGTTTTGACAACA